CCTTATACCACAAGTTGGATGGTTGCGTTCAGGGCCTTTCCCTGAGAACCAGCAGGTCTGAACATCGGAGCGAACTCCCAAGGAATCGTTCCACTTCAAAAAGGTACGTCAAAGTGAGGAAGTGGTTCGCTACCCTGGCCACAGAACAAAGACTTACAACCATGGCTGTGCGTGCTTAAAATAGTTACTAAGTACTTACTGAAGTAATACACAAAAAACGGGGGGTGAACAATCATTCGTCTCCCATCATGACTTACTGACCCCCGCAACCTCATTCCACTCCGCACATTCACGAGCCTAACTTAGGAGGTTCCTCTAGTGACCGGTTGGGTTCCAATCTGGGGAGCCTTTCCTCGGGCTGCGCTCTCGAATTCTTGGCCCCGGGTACTATGCTCAACCCAGGCAGGTCAGAAGTCGTGGATGTTGTATATGTTCACCACTTCTTCTACTTGCAACGGATATAACCTTGGTATTGCCAGTTGGTTTTTCTTTTTCTTTCTTTTTTTCGCGTTTTGGAGGCTCGGTCCGCCATCGGTCCTCAAAGTTGCTGCGGGAGCCCAGGGAAAACTCCTGCAGGAACTCCTGCCTCAGTTGCTTTTTTGCGCGGAGTCGTCGTAGAGGGCCTTTTGGGGGGAGTCCCCCATGTCCCACAGAACCGGATGGCAATTTTGACCCAGCCTCATCACATGTCCAGCCTGGAAATATCACCCCCAAGAGAAAACGCACGCTCAGCGGCCCAAAAGGGCCCTGCGTTCTTGTAATGCCCACCACGCGTCAACAAGCGTCTTGTTACCCGAGGCACGAGGCCTCAGCCCAACGCTCACACCAAGATAAGACTTGCAGATGCTGCTTTTGTCTAATCAGCCCCAGAATAGAGGTCCTTTTTGGAGGTTTGGGGTGGTAAAAGGGAAAACACATGGATTCCACCGGTTTTGGGGTGCCCCAAGTTTTAAGACAGACCAGAGTCAAATTTTGATTGAGACCCCAGGACCACCCCGCACCTTTCAACAAGTTTCCGATCCGACGGTTGCCACCCCAGTGCCATGGACACTTGGGGTGTAGCCAAGAAACCTAAAATCTCTATCAGGTTACAAAAGTCCCCCTAGATGGGTTTTGCATCAGCCAACAGCCTGAAAAGGAGGTTGCAAAACTGGGCTGTCCTCAGATCCCCCGCTAAAAGTTTAACATTTAGTGGGTTAAATGAAAATCCCAACTAAACACCAACAAAGCTAAAAAGCTAAGGGCATGGCCGGGAGCCGCCAAGAAGAACGACAACCGCTCTTGACCATACCCCACCCCCCCCCCGTCCCGCCTGTAGAACAGCTCCTCCTCCCGCAACCTGCGGTCCCCCAGGAAAAGTTCCTCGCGCGCCAGCCAGTCACGGAACTCGTCGCGTGCCGCCTGCCAAGTGGTCGATGGGATCGAGCAATGGCAGGCCAGGTGGGATGGATGCATGGATGCATGGATGCTTGGATGCTGGCAAGACCCAGAGCTTGGTGCTGGCAAGACCCCCCTGCATTGTTCCACTTTTTGGAGGTTTACTGGAAAACGCAACTTGATTTCAACCAACAAGTTAAAGGAAAAAGATCCAACCCAATAGCTGGTTGTCAGACCTACTTACTATGTGAGCTTGAACATCCGAGTGAACATCAATCACTTGGGCCAACACGTGGCCGGCTCGTGCACAGTGTGCACTTACACACATAAGGTGCATTTTGTTTTACTAGAATGGAAAAATGGAGGGGGGGGTACTTTGTTTCCAAGAGATTGTTTCAAGCCCTTTTTCCAGTGGGTTGAACATCCAAGCACTCCTCTTCCCGAACCTTTTTCTGTCGCTGCACGCCCTCCGCAGATTGCGCGCTTTGGGACGTGCGCACTGAGCGCTTCCTGCCAAGACTGCCCGGCTCGCCGTGCCAGCGCAATGTCGAGCACATGATTCACCACCAGTACAGCGCTGCCACCATCCTATGTGGCCAGTGTCGCCTACACGACAAGTTTCACTTGTTGGTGGTTAGTGGAGAAACATACGTGCTCAACTAAAAGACAAGGCGTGTCTTTGTTCAGGGGACCCTCGTTGTCCTTTTCGTTTCCTTTAAGACAACTTAAAAGGGGTACTACTTCCAAAAAATGGACACCTATAAAGGTTCAAAGTTCCAAGCCAATATCACCCAAGCATCCAGGCCCAGGTTTTCCTTGATCGGCAGCCGCACCGACGCGATGCCTTGCGCGTCGGCTTTGTCCCTTGTTAGGCCACGCAAACGGCGCTTGGAATCGCTGAGCGCTCCCAGCACAAACACGGCATCCTGGGGATCTCGGCGCGTTGACTGGTTGAAACATGGGGCAGAGTTCCAGGTCAAAGGCTTCAGAGTACCCATATAAGAGACTATAAAGGTATGTCTGTCACTTGAGTTTCTCAGCTTCCGAGATTGGCTGAGATGTTTAGCTTCCGCCTGGATTATCTGCCTTTTGGAACGACCTTGTCCTTGTCCTCGAAGGAGTCAGCGGTGTCCTTTCCGTCCGGGGAAAGATACACCAGGCGCTGCGCCTGAAATACCTCGATGTAGGGCTCGGCGCTGATGAAAATCCAGTCGGCCCAAGGCTCGTAGTTGGCTTGCCTCCGCAAGGCCCTCTCCATGCGAGATCCAGGCGCAACTCCTGACAGCACCAATTGGAACGGCCTCCCAGGGTTGGGCGATTCAACCCCTTCCAGCTTTCACTGTAGCAAGTAACCAAGGGAAAGCATCATGTAAAACCTGGAGGTAAACATACCTGGCGACCTACTGCAGTGGGCTCTGGAAGCACTTGGGCATGGCTTGAACTAAGCATCTTGGGACCTCAAAAAGGGGTCCTTTTTCATGTCCAGACCCTTCCAACAAACCGCTGTAAGCAACCTCCTTCGGGCTATTTTGCTGGGGTGCTGCCTCTCAGCCTTGCGGTTGCTGCCGTAGCACCTCATCAGCGTGCGCGCCAAAGCGTTCAGCTCTCGGTCGGCCATGGCGCCCTCCCACTCACAATCGATGCACATTGTCGGCGCATCGACCGTCTTGGTACGGAAAATCGCGAGTTCCTCCTGGAGACAAACACACGCATAGTGGGAACCACCCTTTAGAACCAAATGGTGGGGGACACTCTAAAGAGGACCCGGGTTGCAAACATGTTAAACATTTGGTTGGCAAAAGGGAAGTTGAAAGAACACCGGCCAATTCTACATTCTACGGGACTTCTGTCCTGCGCCTGCTCAGCTCTCCAGCGGCGATACCTCAAAAAGCGTTCCTCATCAAAGTCATCCGCCCGCTCCACCTCTGCCTCCGCAACCGCCGCTCTCTCCTTGGCCTTCGCGGCTTTGGCCTTGTGCCGCGCGTGCCACTTCGGGTTGGCAGAGATGGGCGTCGGGATGTCCAGGGACTCTGGGCAGCCTGGATACGTGGCGCGCGCTCGCGCGCGAGAGCAGCGAGGTGGCAAGGCAGAAAGCCGGATGAACGCTGGCCGCTGCGCCAAGAGCCATCCGAGGCAGCTGAGGGAGGCAGCATGCACGAGGTATGGCTTGACCAACATGGGACCCGTCCCAGTTTGGTTGCGGTCGAAATCTGAGATTCCAGCTGTCTCTCGTCCTCCCCACAAGTGTAGACCAACCATTTTGTTTTGACTCACAATTCCAGGCACTCAACTGGTTGACTTCCCTTTGGCCCTTTCAAACCGAGGGTGTTCCACCTGCATTGGAGTCCTGGTCCTAGGGGACGTCCAAGTGCACCGGATTCGAATCCACACCGGGGACAAATCCGACCAGGATCCCTGCAGAAAGTGGCCAACGGTCCGCTAGTAAGGGAACACGATGGGCAACAAAAAGGCAAAATTCAAAACGTAAGTCTTCCGTCTGGTGATGTCATCAGCATCAGCACAAGTGGGGTTAAGTACCTCAAGCAAGCGACACTCCGACATACCTATGCACATCCCATTTAGCCAGCCATGTTCCTTCGTCTTTTAAAGGGTTCCATTGCTTATCTACGTCCCAGCACATCCCAGTTACCGACGCCCACTTCATTGTTTTCTTGGCCGGTTCGAATATGGATTTGGTGGGAAGGAATTCGGCATTTCACCTCTCGAGCCAAGGGGGAAGGCACGATGGGTTTTTGGCTTGGACCAGACGATGCATGACGGGGCCCATTTTCAAGGGTTCCAATTCCCATTGCGACAAATTTACTTGTTTTATTCACCCTCTGAACAAGATCCGCGTGAAACCTGGGGTAAACCACCCACTGCTTGCAGGATGTCCATCGGTATGGCTTGGTGTTTGGATGGTTCAACCTGAGGTGAGGTGCAGCTGCTGCATGACGCCAGAGATCTGATAGATTGAGTTGACATGGCTGTCTTTTTTGTGGGCCTTTCTTGTGGCAAAGGAATACACCCATATCATGCAACGTGTCATCCCCGTCCCTTTTCCATGCCACCGATTCCGGTGTCGCTTCAGCGGACAGCTCGTTGCTGCTCTTTCGAAACCTACGGATCGGCACAAAGAACTGGTTCTGTTGTTTACAGCCCCAATGAACAGAACAAAAACTAACGAACAACTAAAGCACAAAGCACATGCAAAGAACAGTGAAGTTCTACATAGCGCTCCATATCGTCTTGATCACAGGTGTGCAAAGAAAGGACACAACACGCACATGAAACGGCGGGAGGCGACAGGGTTGAAGCTTACTCTCTTTCCATTGGAAGTGGAGGTGCCTTTTCCAAGTCACTGTCTTCCAAGCCCCGATGTCGACCCCGGATAAATCAACTTGGATTCATAGTGCAACTCCCCGAAAGGTGATCCGGCTGCCCTCTTAAGCGGGACTTCCCGTCAAAATCAACCAGGGGTCAAATAGTTGGGTGTTGAGTGCCGCATCTGCTTCTTCTTTTGGGGTGTGTGCTCTCCAAATCAACCAGCTGCATAGTTGGACAGGTAAAGAAAAATGGACTTGTTGTTTACCAAAAGTCCAGACTTGTTGCAAAGTTATCACTCAGACCATCCGCCAATAGCCGCCCATCCGGGCGGCCTCGACCTCTGCAACGCTCACCGCACCACGAGCAGCCACCGCCTGTCGCTGTTTGTATCCGGCGCCACTTGACCAGACTTACACCTGGTGCAGATGATGGACAACCAGCAAGGCAGGTTCTTAAGTCCTAAGTCTGGCAATGTGGATTTGGACACAGCACACAGAACCCGGCCCAAAATTCGAGTATGCTTCATACTTGGTCTGCTCTCAAACCAATTGTTTGCGGCTGGCGTTTCCCTCATCGAGGACAGCAAGTTGATTGAACCCGGTCCGAGGGTTTCCCCTCGAGGTTCGTCTCCATTTGACTTCCCGGCAGACCTAACCCACTCGATTCTCCTTTCAATTCGAACCACCGGGCTTAACTCTCAAAAAAAAACGCAATTGTGGGAAGATCCGACTATCCGCTCAAACAAAGAAACACCAACTCGTGGGACACAACCACTCAACCATTTTCCATCTCATATCATCCCATTTTCCGCCCAATGGTTGTGGAGAGCGCCAAAAAAATGGCACTCCTCACCTCAACGCCTTGGATCCCGCGCCCGCGCGCAAAGCCAGCGGAGGCCTCCTGCGCCAGGGCACGGACCACGTTCACGCTGCGGCGTGCGGTGCGGCCTCAGCTCGAGCCGCTTCGCGGCCGCGCGGCTCGTCGCAACGCTGGCCGGAAAAAGGTGAAACCCTCTTGCACCTTTTTCCTTCTTCCAAGCAATGGAAGAGAAGCCAGATGTCATGTCTGCAATGACACAACTTACAATGAAAGCAGGAATGAAAGAGTGGGGGGGGGACCCGCTTGGCCTGGCTGGGAGAACTTCAAGAAAAGGTCACCCTAAGGGTTGAAAAGGATTCGTTCGTTATGGTTGGGGTGAGTTGATATCCTTCAAAGAAAGGTATCCTACTTACCTCAGATGTGATCACAGCAACCTGTATGGGAATCAAATTCAGGCTGGGAATGAACCAACGGATACCAGAAAGGAAGCCACCAGTTGGATGGGCTCCCTCATTACCCCGAAGCAGGAAATGGGTCCGTCTTTTCCGGAGTCGCGCAAAACACCGATGATTCACGCAATGATACGCGGAATCCAACGAGGTACTTTCATCATGGTTTCGCTTTGGAGAGTCCTTCTAAAAGAAAGACTCTCAAAAGAGATACCCCTGATCTCTGGTTGCAAATTAAATGCTACTCCCCCAAAATGGGCCTCAGTTTCCAGTTGGTCTACCAACCAAAAAAACAAAGGGCAGACATGCAAAAGACACGGCAGGAGTTTCCTTGAGTTGGTCTCCGGTCTCCTTGAGTTTTCCTCAAACCGAGCTTTAGCTGCACCCCAATGCAAATAACTGTCCAACCCTTGGCATTTGAAGCAAAACATCGCTGCTTTTTGCCGAAAGCTAAGAACAGAATTGCCCGGAACTGTTCGCTCGCGGCACCTGCCCCAGCCCCGAACCCAGTGGCTAAGACCCATAGCTGTCACTGTTGGGGAGAAAGCAAACAGGGCTTGCAACTGTGGCCTCCATCTGGCAGGTCAACACGCTGTGGAAGATTGACTGCACCAACCACACCAATTGGTTCGGCTTGCATTCGCCAATCATGCCCGCGACCTTGGCGACGCTTTTGAAGGGGCTGCAATGGCCCCACATCGCATCCGCCCCGCGCAGCACCATCTCAACTTCGGGCACGGCAAGCGCCCGGCGGGCAATGGTCAGGGCATCCACCATCCGCTCAGATCGGGGCTCCACCTTGAAGTGGCCTTCATTGCCGGTCTTATTCTCGCATTTCCTGGTGCGGATGTTCTCGATGTTCAAGAGAAATTCGAACCCATTCAACAATAGAGCCAGCATGATCGTGTCGAGCAACAAAGAAGAGGAAAAGAAGAGAAAAACAGGGGATAAGGAGAACGAGGAACAAAGGCAGGAACCATTTTACCGCAACGGAAGCAGACAAGAGCAGAAACAGACGCAAAGAGGCAAGCGGGCCCAACACCTGGTCATCAAAAGTGTTGGGCCGATGCCATCTTTCTGTTCAGACCAAGTTGCCATGCCCATGTCGAAAGTGTCACCATGGCATTTGCCAAACAAAAAACACCCCGCTGTTGCGCCAAACAACATGCGAAGGCCCAAGGAGAGCAAACCGCTCACTTCGAGTTGGCTGATGGGCCAAAGTCCAAAAGTAGAAAGTACCCCAGGGTCATTTAGAAATTTAGACTCTCCTTGGCTTCTTTGGTACAACTTTAAGAGTAGAAAGTCAAGGAAAACTCTCTGGAGAAAAAGCCCCAAGCCCCACTGCCATCGACAGCACCGCCGCGATGGAATCTCCACGTGGGGGGCGCCGCGTGCCTGCCTTTTTCTTTGTGGAGGGCGCTGAATTTGTTGGGTTGGCTCAACCATGGAGATCAAAAGGACAACTCAACGGCTGCGGAAAAGAACCAATCCACCCACCCCAAAGATTACAATGAACCACGCCCGGTGGAGCCTCAGTCGAACATCAGGGCCCTCGAACTACCCAACATGTGCGTTTCTCAAAAAAAAGAAGACAAAAAGCCAGAAACAACCAAAGACGTGCGTTTCCTCAAAACAAAAAAGGAGGAAAAACCAACAACCAACCTCGGAGGATTCGCCACATCTGTTGTTTTATCTGGGGCTTCCGGGCTGTAGAGGCCCAGCACCAGGGTGCCTTCCACTGCCAGCAGCTGCCGCAGCTTCCGCAGCCCCGCGCGCCTGCGGGAGCTTCCGCTTGCTTCGGGGGGGCAGGGGGGGGGGCAGAGGCGCGAGGGGGCGGGGGGGTTTCATCGAGCAGGTGGTCCATTTGTTTGGAGTCCACATGGGAGGTCAAAAATAGGTCCTATAAGGTTTTTCATCAACTAGGTCCTCCAGTAGAGAGGTTGGAATGAGGGTACAAACTTTTCTCTTTTTTGTCTATTTTAGTAGGGGAACCCAAAACTCCAAAAGTTGGGGGGGGAAAAGTGCACTACTGGGGGACCTAGTCAAGCAGGTGGTCAAATTTGTTTGGAGTCCACATGGGAATGGGTCACCCATAACTGAACTCTGGAAATTGAAACAAGGACCAAAACCGGCGGTCCCCTATGATAATTGATAGTTTTCCGGAATATAAAGCAGAATCAGTAGGAGATAAATTTATGAATGAGTATGGCAAAGTCAGTTAAAGGTTGAAACCACCTCCAAAGTGCTTGAAACCCCACATATATAAATGATGTCCAAATCACTAAAATTCACATCTAAAGTAATGGGAACCCGATTTGACTTGCTGCTTCTCATTGGGGAATCATTACACGGGGTTTTGGGAGCGAACGGAAAGGGGATCGCTTAAAGGAGGCCACCAAAAGCATATAGCCTGCTGGGAACCAGCAAGCAATTTTGCGTCAGAGCAATAAACCCCTAGCTGGTTGACATGGGGGTGTCTTGCTCAAAGAGAGGATAATTCACTGGGAGTCGCTTTTCTTTTTGTGGGGGGGGGAGGGGATGCTCGTTTTTCTTTTTGTTGGGGGGATGCCACATGACTGCCAGGGTCAAGTGTGCATTAGGTCATGCCCCAGGCTTTGATTGCCGTTTTCTTGATTCTGTGGGGCGGGGGGGTTGTACTAAAATGTGGGAACACGTGAGTGAAAAGCCCAGGGCACTTTACTTGGGCGGATTGGCCAGAATAAAAGTCACCAGTCTTGCTTGTTTGGTGTACCACTAAAATGGTTTTCTCAAAAAGCTCAGGGCACTTTACTTGGGTGGATTGACCAGTCTTGCTTGTTTGGTGTACCACTAAACTGGTTTCCCCAAATTGTAGGCCTTCAGACTGCACGAAGCATGGTTGACCAATTTGCAGAATTTGCAGGTGGTTTGGGAGGTATGGATGTTCATAGCAGATTTGAAACAACAGTGGCACGTGCAACCTGTTTTTCCGATTCTGTTCCACATTTCGCCTACCCCAAAATACAACATTTGTGTTTTTGAAGAAAAGGCTCCGCAAAAGAGTCAATCAAGTTGCAACACTCTAGGGTTTGATGCGCCATCCTTTCAACCACTCTTCTTTTCGAAAACCGGCCGGTTTCCCTCCTGGTATTTTGAGATGGCTTCCTGAAAACAAGAGTTCCTGGGTTCAGAATGGAAATGGAAGGTACCCCCAGAAACACGTCAACTCCAAACAAAATCCGAGGCTCCGGCGGGTCGGGGAGGTGGTGCACCACCCCCACGCTCTCGATCACGTCGAAGCGCTCGCTGTCCTCGAGGGAGAAGAGGTCGCACTTCCGCAGAGAGACCTTCCTTGGAGCGATGGGAACCCCGGAAAAGCACAGCCCGTTTGATCAGAAAGTGTCCTTTTAGGGGAAATAGATGGGTTTCCCTGGAAGATGATTAAACCCCCAGGTAAACCAGGAATCGCCATCTATTTTTCTACAGCCACGAAGGACACCTATGCCGTGGATGTTGATGCCCAAAGGACCCGATTCCTCTTTATGTGGCCAGGACCCAATTTAGATAAAACTTCATCTAAATGTTGATCAGAAAGTATTGGTGGGTGGAGCTAGTAGGCATACCATGGCCTTTCTAGTCCACCTTGCTCAGAAAGTCTCCGATTCCTTAAATCAACATACCCAAAGGACCCGATTCCTCTTTATACATGTGGCAAGGACCCAATTTAGATGAAACTGCACTGGCACGCTCCTGGATCCCAGTTACCAAACGAGTACTGGGCTCAAGTCAAAAAAGACAGGACCCGCAAAACTGGGTTTGGGGACATCCCATAAGTAGATGACCCTTCGCCATTTTCCTTTTAGTTGTTGAAGGGTGGTGTCATTGGTTACCTAGGCAGGGACATGGAATCACCGGGATATGGGCGTGAGAACTTGAATTCGGGGACCCCTTCGTGGACATGGGGACTAAGATTCATGTCCAACGACTGTTATAAAGCACAAGCAGTAGGACCACGCATATTCAGGTAAGCCTTAGTTGGTGGTTTGGATTGGTGGTTTGGGGATTTGAACCCCTGGATCCTGTGGCGGGTAGGCGGGAAACCGCTCCTCAACCACCGAACGGCTCTACTGAGAACTAGCAAGCCCCCCCCCCTCAACTCAAACCCGCGGTTCGAAACCCGGGGTTTTGGGTGGTTTCTAGATTCTAGAAGGATTCCGGAAACAGAATTGTTGGAAGGTATCCCTAGTACAATCATGGTTATTACATGTCTCATGGCCCAATTTGTTTGGAGTCCATTTAGAATTCATCGTTTTTCAGAGTCATACAGCAACCGCTGTATTTTCTCTTGAAAAGAATCCCTACGTTTCATCCCAAAACCTTTGAAACTCCCGAATCTGCAAACCTCTGCAAACCTAGGAAAAATTAGTCCATCTAAAAGACTCCAACATCCCCGAATCGGGGAGGAGGACCACACCTTCCAGAGAAGTCAACTCCAAATCTGTGAGCTTCGGCTTTCGCACGGAACTCCATGGTGTCACTACCCAACCCCCAAACGAAAACGAGGAACGGGTTGATCAATATGCCTGGCCAAATGACCATGGTTTTTTGTTTGGTGTGTGTTTTCCCCTTTAGTGGGGAAAAGTCATCTTATGGTGACCAATGATCATTCCACGGGGACCTTTTGATCAACCCCTACCAGTTTACAGTCCAAGACGCTACGATCCCACTAAACCCAAGACCTGGTGGTGCGAAGCGGACACCATAGACTGATCAATGGATTCCCTCTGAATTCTTTTCGAGTGGGTGCCCCACTAAAGATGGTGACCGGATCTTTTTTGTAACACAAGTTCGGATCTGATGTCTATTTTGTCGTTAGTTCAATTATATTTCATATTGATGGGTGATAGAGACAGTCCTTGTCTTTCCCCCTCACCTGCATCATTCGCTGTAGCAGGACAAAGGTGAGCGATGAGCGTGAGCGGTCAGTGAAGCACATATCATTTGGTTTCATTTGTTCGTACCCTCTCTCACTGACTAGTTTTAGGATAAGCTCGCAAGAGATACCGCTCACCTACAAACCAACAATACAGTGAGTGGGAATAGAGAATATGAAGTAGCAGAAACCCATTCTCTAAATTTCCTTGAATCCCATGTATGGCGGCCGTGTACTCCCGTAACATCCTGGAACCATCTTAGATCTTCAAACCTCCGAGCTGCGAAAGGTCGAAGCCCAGCGCCAGAAGCTGCCGCTTGGCGACGCGCAGGGAACTCTCACTGAGGTCCACCGCAAGGATCTCCTCGGACGAAGGCCCAACCGGGCAACCGCTGCTTGGGTCGGGATGTGAAAAACCGCGGCTTGGTTCTATGATGGCAATGGCCGGAGTGGGTTTCCAAGTCTAAGTTACTATGTCGCTGGATTTGTCCTTTCAAAAGTTGCAGTTTGCTGGTAAGTTCCAGCAACAGCCAACATGTTGCCATTTTTGGAGGTGCCAAACAGGGAACCACAGGGAGCCCTGTATAAAGGCTGGTATAAAAACCCATCAACGTGCGACTCTGACTATTGTTCTACTTTTGACTCACGGAGACACCAACGATGGCGATGTCCCTTTTTGGCTCTCCCTTTGAACCAACCTGAGAAAGGTACCTCAAAAAAGAAGCTATCGCTTGGTTCTGCTGGTACTGTTTGTCAAGGTTTATACAGGCTTCCTTTTTGGGGGGCTTCAGGCGCTGCTCATGAAGTGTTGTGCAAGGGCTTGTCCTTGAACGCATCACTGATCTATACCGTCCAGGCTTGCGCTCCCAGTACAAAAGACTAAATCACCAGAATGGGGTTGCGGGGTACTATAAAACCAAAGGTCATGATCGAAAGAGAAAAATGTGTGCAACTGGCTAGCTCCTTGTATTACCTTGCCTTGCCCAGACGCATTGATCTGATCCCTGCAAAAAGTGACGACTTCTTGCTCAGTTGCACTTCTGACTTCTCAGATCCGGTCAGAAATCCGGTCGGTCCGCTTCCAGTATCACCGAAGCCCGAAAGCTTCCACATCCTCCAGTAGAGAGGCTTGAATAAGGGTACCCTTTTTTCTGTAGTCTATTTTAGTAGGGGCACCCTCCCCAAAAAAGATCAAAATATTTTAGTAGTTCCCTCCCCAAAAAGATTGAAGGACACTGCGGGACGTAGGCTTGCTCTTTAAAACCCAAGCCCAAAGCTTGGAGCTATCCCCGATCCGGAATCTTTGACCAAAGCTCAATGAAAAAAATACGCTCTCGGCAAAAAAAATGGGCTCTTAAACCCCGGAATCCATACAAGCTTGAATTTAGGTTCCTTCTTGAAAGCAGCCGTTGTGGGCTTGCTTGGGGCTTAGGGAAACCAAATGAAGAACCTGTCCCATCCTTGGCATGTGTTTGCAAACGATGCTATTTACTTGTTTTGCAACCCCCCAAAAAAATAAGGCACACAGCCCAAAGTCCTAAGCAACTACAAGACCCTGCCGTTCGAGTAAGGGAAAAATCGTTCCCCGCCTCCGGCTCAAAGTGCTCCAAGTGCGCCAAGATCGCTTTCCCGGTGCCCACCCCGGCCAGCAGACTCCTCCTGACGAGCCCCTCATGGGATTCGTTGGAAGAAACGCCCCGCTCGGTCTCCCATGTCCAGATGTGAACACCCTTGGGCTCTCAGGTTAGTTGTAGGGAAACCAAAGGACACCAATGCCGTTTTTGGAATCCAATTCCTATTTTGAGAAACACCCAAATTAACGTGTCAAAATATGTTTAAAAAATAAAAGCGCCCCCCAAAATGTGGGCTTGCTGTGCGATAGGCCTGATTAAGAACTTAGCTTAGGCTTATCTCTGGATTGACCCCACCCGGAAGCCCCAGCAGCGACTCTGGTAAAAATGGGCTTGCACCAAATTCCAATTTGGTTCTCTCCATGCTCCTTTGCGAGTGGCCCCTGAGCTTCCCACTCAATAAGCTCAGGGGCCACGTACAGCTGGGAAGCCTTCAAGGATCTTCCTTGCTGTTTGCCAATTCAACTGGTACCTTGGTGCAAACAACAAAATGTGGCCGGAGGGCGGACTTTTGCAGAAAACCCGAGTCGAAAGCCTCGCTTCAGAGTAAAACTATGACTCAAAAGCGAACCCAATTGGGAAAAGCAAGTTGGCCAACTGAACGAGCAAATGTGCCTTGTTTCCGACAAAAAAAAGAAACTTGAGGGGTTTGCCTTCTTCTCGTCCTCCCCAAACCAACAATGGACTACCAACAATATGGT